TGAGCCTAATTGATGATCAGGAAGGGCTTTGATATGCTGTTTCTTCTATCCCCAATGCAGGGGAGTTGGAGGGAGACCAGAGAGAGACCAGGGCAGCAAGATGGAGCACGGAGAGACTAGCAAGGGTGACAGAGGGAGAAGAATGTAGAGGAAGAATGCAGGAGCAGGCATGTGGAGAGACGAGAGATGCAGCTGTGAGAGGGAGTGCGGAGAGATGAGTGGGGAGACAGGAGGAGATGGGAATGAGGGACAGTGTGAGGCTAGAATGGGGAGCTTAGTGAGATTGGAACAGGCATGTGGGGAGAGTGGAATAAACGGCAACTGATCATCAATCAGCCTGGTGGCCCTCGTTTCTTCCTTTGTCTGCCCATTGCAATGGCTGTCCCGGGTGGGCGAGCAGCCCAAGTCCACCGAAGGCAGGTGGCAAGAGAGAGCTGCGGGGCTCCCTAGTCACCCAGAGATTACACAGTATTGGAATAAAGACATATCTGCAGACCAATGGAATCGGATTGAATATCCTTACACACACCCTCAAATATATGATCATCTAATCTTGGTAAGGGAGCAATAAATATAAAGTGGAGCAAGAAAATCCTCTTTAACAATTGGTGCTGGCAAAACTGGACAGCTACATGCAAAAAAAATTGGGTTCAGACCTCTGCCTAACACTATACACAAAAGTCAGATCAAAATGGATTAAAGACCTCAATATCAGACCAGAATCCATAAGGTACATAAAAGTAAAGGTTGGCAAAACCCTCTACAACATGGAAGCTAAAAGTATCTTCAAAGACAAAATGCCACTGACCAAGCAAGTGGAAACAGATAAACAAATGTGACTATATTAAACTAAGAAGCTTCTGACTCTCAAAAGAAACAGTGACCAGAATACAAAAACAGTCTGCAGAATGGGGAATGATATTCACCCAATAATCTTCTGACAAGAGTTTAATATCAAGGATATACAAGACACTGGTTGAACTCTGCAAGAAGACAACATCCAATTCCATCAGAAAATGGGTGATGAAATGAACAGAAACTTTTTCAAAGAAGAAATCCAAATGGCCAAAGGGCACATGAAAAAATGCTCTACATCACTAATAATCAGGGAGATTCATATCAAAACTACAATGAGATATCAACTCACACCACAGAGACTGGCACACATCCAAAAGAACAAAAGCAACTGATGTTGGCGTGGATGTGGGGAGAAGGGGACTCTCTTGCACTGCTGGTGGGAATGCTGATTGGTTCAACCTTTTTGTAAAACAATATGGATGTCTCTCAAAAATCTTGAAATTGAATTGCCATTTGGGAATATATCTAGAGATGCAAAAATACAGTAGAAATGACATCTGCACTTGTATGTTTATTGCAGCACTATTTACAATAGCCAGAATCTGAAAAAAACCTGAGTGCCTGAGAACAGACGGCTGGTTAAAGAAACGTTGGTACATCTACAAAGTGGAATACTATGCAGCTATTAGAAAAGATGAAATCATGAAATTTGCATATAAGTGGATCAACATGGAGAGTATCATGCTAAGTGAAATGAGTCAGAGAGAGAGAGAGAGAGAGAGAGAGAGAGAGAGAGAGACATAGAATGACCACACTCATTTGTGGAATATAGCATAACATAATGGGAGACTAACACCCCATGATAGTAGAGATAAGGGCAAGGAGGATTGTTCCATGGCTTGGAAGCTGGCCTCACATGCTGGGGGGAATAGGAAGCTGGGCTAGAGAAGGCACCATTAAGTAAATGATGCTTGGAGGGCTTGCTTGGGATGGAAGATGAATGCTGAAAGTAGACTATGGACCAAACATGATGGCCTCTTAGTACCTGTATTGCAAACCATAACACCCAAAAGGAGAGAGAGAGTAAAATGGAATGTTCCTGCCACAGAGGCAAGTGGGGGGATGGGGTGGGGGATAGTGGGAGGGATACTGGGAACATTGTTGGTGGAGAATGGGCATTGTTGGTGGAGAACGGGCATTGGTGGAGGGATGGGTACTCAATCATTGCATGACTGAAACACAATCACGAAAATTTATAAGTCTGTAACTGTATCTCATGGCGATTCATTAAAAAATAAAAATTAAAAAAATTCACAGGATAATATATATATTTTAAAGGCTGATTTTACTAGGAATCAGGGATATGCAAATTAAATTAATAATGAGATATTTTACACACTTCAGATTAAAAATTTAATCTGAGAATATTAAATCACTGTCATCCTGTTGATCACCGAATTACTCGAGCAGGCACCAGTAACATCTCTATTCCTCCCAGCCCTGAGATTTTAGCAGTCTCTTCTTACTCGTCTTTCCCCCATGATTGGAGGCTCTTTTCAGGGTCAGGGGAATGAGCCCTATTATCCTTACCGTATTTGGCATATCGAATACGCCATGGGGAGCTTGCCAGGCTCTGCCCATGTAGGCGGGACACTCTCAGTAACTTGCCGGGCTCTCTGAGAGGCATAGAGAATATTAAATACTGGTGAGGAGATTAGCAAAGGGAACTTATTATTTTTTTCTTGGGCTGCTCCAGCGAATCTTGGGAGGTCATGTGGTGCCATGCTGGGATCAAACCTGGGCCACTTGTTTGCCAGGCAAGCCCTTTAGCTCTTGAACCATCTTCCAGGCTCAGAGAACTTATTTGCTGAGGGTAAGAGGGCAAACTGGTTATGACCACGCTGAGAACAAGTTCAGTTCACCTAATCAATTTGCAAAAGTGTGTGTTGCTATTTATGGTTCCTCCAGGTGGTTTGTACCCCTGAGGACACACACACACACACACACACACAGAGTACTCATTATAGCAAGACTTATGATTTGGGGGTGGAGGGCGAGAAGCACCTCAGATATACATGAAAAGGTTCATCAATAATCATACAATAAAGATGGAATGAATGACAGTTAAAATAAAGTAGAATTACCTTTACCGATGTGAATAAATCTCACAAGAATTACAATATCGGATCAAAAATAACACTGAATGCTTAGAGAATACTATTAAAAACTGCAAAATCCAAAAAAAGATGGCGGCCGCACAGGAGCCTTATGGACAGCAGGTTTGAGCCGGGGGTGGGGGGTGGCAGGGGCCTCATGGGAAGGGGGGCTTTCTGGGCCGTCCTTCACGCCCGACCGAGGTCACCAGCTGCCCCCCACGAGCGGCTCTCTGGCACGGCCACGGCCCCGGAAGCACAAGGACTTAGCACAGAACGCCACCCGCTTGGAGCAGAAAAGCAAATGGACTATGTGTTAAACCGCGCCAGCATGCCTGCCCGGAGGGGAAAGGGTGTTGACCCTCTCGCCCGCTCCTCTCTGGAAAGAAAGATGGCGGCCGCACGGGAGCCTTGTGGACAGCAGGTTTGAGCCAGGGGTGGGGGCGGCAGGGACCTCATGGGAAGGGGGGCGTAATGGGCCGTCCTTCACGCCCGACCGAGGTCGTCAGCTGCCCCCCACGAGCGGCTCTCCGGCACGGCCACGACTCCAGAGCACAGAAACCAATCTCTTAACTATCTGACTTTTAATAGAAATTCTTCCAGGGTTAATAAGTAAAGTAGCAGAAATCCAAAACCGCTATCGCGGCCGCGCGACATCATTTTATTCTTAAACCCAGCTGCAGAAAGCAAATCATTTCACAACGCTGTTTCAGCATATCTGATGGGGGGGGTTGTAAACTCTAAACAATAATTGTGCATCTTCTATTGAAACAATGTATCTAGTCAAAGTAGATAGAGTATTAACTAGAACTCATCTGCCTCACAGGAATTGGGAGGGGTGGGAGGTGGGGTTCTATTGGGGTTTGCGGTTAAAAATAAGTATTGGTAAAGGGAAATGTGTTTGATACTTACATGACTGAGACCTAAACCCGAAAGCTCTGTAACTTTTCCCACAGTGATTCAATAAAGAAATAAATTATTTAAAAAAATAAAAAAAATAAAAACTGAAAAATCCATACTACCTATTTACAGATACTTACAAAGGTGCTACAATTAGAGAGAAATCCTGGGAATTACAAACAGTTCACCAGAGGTTCAGTGGGGGCTTTCCGTGGGGGCTCAGGGAAGGTTTGTGCAGAGTAATGTATGGTGTGTGTGTGGGAGGGCAGATCACGGTACCAGATGCTTTATAATTGCTGAGACACCCATGAAGAAAGGGAGACGAGTTTCTAGTGTCAGATGTGTCTGTGGTTGTTTTTTCTTTCTGTTTTTGTTTTGGGGCCATACCTGAAGGGCTACTCATGGCTCTGCTTGAGGGGTTGTTCCCAGAAGCGCTCAGGGGATCGTGTGGTCCCATGAATTTAATACAGGCGTACTAAAGGCAATGCATGAGCTCAGCCCGTGGACACATGTGGGGGCTCTCTGGTCAGCACAGGCACAAGGCGCTGAAGACCCCTCCAGCTGAGGCATGTGCCATCCAAATCCCTCTCACCCTCGTGCCCTCCTTAAAAAGCGCAGAGTGGGTGGGAAGAGTTTGGTTTTTTTTATTATTATTTTTAGCTTTTTGGGTCACACCAGGTAATGCTCAGGGGTTAATCTTGGCTTTGCACTCAGGAATTACTCCTGGTGGCGCTCGGAGACCATATTGGGGATGCTGGGAATCAAACCCTGGTCGGCTGTGTGCAAGGCGAACACCCTACCCTCCGTGCTATCGCTCCAGCCCTGAGTTTGGTTTCCTTAAAGGGAAGACTTAGGACAAACCTTTCCACTGGGACTAACTAGCTCCAAAGCAAGCAGAGCACCCAAAGCCTGAGATGCTGTGGACAATCCTCCTGAACTGCTAATAGTAGACATTACACCTGCTGCCGGTAGAGAGTTTCTCAGTGATTTCTTTCCTGCGGGATCATGTATGCACACTCACAAAGCAGCCACTAACTAGACACATTGATCTTACACATGGGCCTGCGGGAGATTCAGACTGGGTGTGGGGCTTGCCCCTCCAGGGGTGGGAACAGAGCTGAGGGTGGGGGCTGAAGATGAAGTGCTTACCGGAAGCCCAGCAGGATGGCGGAGGCGACGACCAGCCCGGAGAAGGAGAGCACGTAGCCCACCGTGTAGACGATGTAAAGGGACAGGAACTGTTCCTCCACGGAACTCTGTGGGCACATGGACAGGGTGCCCGCGCCTCCCTTGCCCCTGGGACAGGCCCCACTCGGGACCCCAAGCTAAGAGAGTGAGCTGTGGTGAGGTCCCCGTTGGCATTAATGAGATGATCAACCCGTGTCTGGGAAGCAGGGTGTACCAGGTCAGGGCATGGTGAAAGGGCCAGGGGACCTGCCCAGACTCAGAGCCCCAGGGAAGCGGAAGCCGAACCCCTGCTCCCCCGGCTGACTCACTCGCTCCCCTTGCTTGGACTCGTCACATTCCGACAGGTTCCTCCAGGGCAGGCTGGAGTTGTCCTTCTGCAGCCAGAGACCCTCAGACGTGCAGAACCGGTACACGTGACCCTGTGGCACTGAGCCAAAGACATGGGACTGAGTCTGGGACACAGGTCCACCATTTCTCCCCATCCCGAGGGTCCCCAGAACTGACCCAGAGCAGGAGGCTGGTCTCTAGTAGGAAGCTTGTCCCTGGGGCAGGGTGTGGAGATAAGTCAGGGAGGGGGACACCAGGACAATGGCGGAGGGGAGAAGTGCCTGCCACAGAGGCAAATGGGGGGCGGGAGAGACACTGGGGACACTGGTGGAGGGTAGTGGGCATTGGCGAAGTGACCAGTATTGGAACATTGTCTTCCTGAAACCCAAACACAAATATCTTTGTAACTTTGTGATTCATGGTGATTAAAAAAATAGAAATTTAAAAATGAATTAGAGTTGGTGCACCTCTTCACTTCTTCCCTCTGTGCCCCCTCTCAAACAGACACACACAGATGCACAGACACACAGACACACACAGACACACACACACAGACACATGCATATACACGCATGCATGCCCTTCCTGTTTTACTCCCTTTTGGTTCAGGGTCAGACGGGGGTCAGGGGTGAGGCCACCCAACCCTACCTTCTGCCATTCTCAAAACCTTGAGATGATGAATCCATGACTTTGCCATGGTATCTTTAGCTCCTTCCTGTGCCTCCAGCCTGATATCACATCATCAACAGGCTCTGGGGACAGCCAGTAGGGTCCTAACAGAGGGCTCCAACTCACTGCACCTTCTCATTCTTAGGACTCAGTGTCCACTCCCCTACAACAGATGTGGCAGGCAGGCCCTAGGGACAAAGTGAGTCCTGAGCTCCTGAGATAAAACAGCCTGTCCTCAGGGAGCCCCAGTCTGAGGGGACACAGTCCTGTCCTCAGGGAACCCCAGCCTGAGGGGACACAGTCCTGTCCTCAGGAGACCCAGTCTGAGGGAGCATGGCCCTGTTCTCAGGGAGGTCCTTTCTGAAGGAAGGAGTATGATCTTTGGCGTCAGGGACTCAGAAAACTCACAGAAGTCCTCAGAATGTAAAAGCTGGGAAACAAACCACTGAGATTAAGCACCAGGCAAGCCAGGATCTAGTATATACCATGCCCATTCCAGCCTGGCTGTGTCTCTGGCACTGAGAGGGTTCCCTTCCAGGGCTCCAGGCCCACTTCCTCTGTAAGGGAAGAGGTGCGTGGCCCAAGGTTTGCTCTGAGGACGATGGCAGAATGGGAGCTGACAGCTCCAGGAGCCGTAATACTCATTACTTCTCCACTGGAGCCTGTACTGTGGGCAACAAAGGGCCCAACAGAGGAGATAAAGCTGTGGAGTTTGGTCAGGGTGAATGTTCATTTGAAGGTTTTAAAATTCTGAAAGAACTAAGGGAGTTGGAAGACCAGCTTCCCCAGCTGGGATCGGTGGACACACTTGAGGGAGAGAAGGGGAAGCCAGACAGACCTGGTTGGCAGTGGCTGCTCAGATGGTCCCAGGAGACAGAAGCAGGCACTGTGACTGTGGGAAGAGACTCTCCCACATGGTGTGTGTGTGTGTGTGTGTGTGTGTGTGTGTGTGTGTGTGTGTGTATGGGTGTGTGAGAGAGACAGAGACACAGGGAGAGATAGAGACAGAGGCAGAGAGAGACAGAGATAGAGAGAGAGACAGAAGGGGAGAGAGAGGGTGGGAGAGCGAGCCTTGGAACTGCCCCACAAGGGCCCGGGAGGGACACAGCACCCAGGAGAGGGCTCCCAGTTGCACTTCTGCACCTTCCCAACCCCCTGCCCTGTGCATAGCCCACATGCAGGGCCAGGGACAGCAATCTCTGCACTGTCCACTGTGGGCAGCAACCAGGCAGCCAGACCACTCCTGTTTGCTCTTTCTGCTCCAGTTCCGTTTATGAGGCAGACCCCACTTCAGGAGGAATGAGTGCCTGGTCACTGGGGCTAATTCACCACCTCTGCGAGAACATACATATTATTTTATAATTACTTTGGTCTGGGGGCCATATCTGACATATCTGGCCATATCTCTGGGCTACTCCCTGCTCAGGGCTTGAAGGTCACTCCGGGTGGTGCTCAGGAGACCACGTTGTGCTGTGGATGGAACTTGGGCCTTCTGCATGCAAAGCGGGTGCTCTTGCCTGTTCACTTCCATGGTAGCCCTGCTCAGCCTTCCTGATTTGAACCCCAACCAATAGATCAAAAAGCTTTTTTTTTTCTGTTTTGGGTTTTTGGGTCATGTCTGGCGACACTCAAGGGTTACTTCTGGCTTTGCACTCAGGAATTACTCCTGGTGGTGCTTGGGGGACCGTATGGGATGCCAGGGATCAAACCCCAGGTTGGCTGCGTGCAAGGCAAATACTCTAGCCGCTGTGCTATCACTCTGGCCCCTGATCAACAGGATTTCTTCTCAAAAAAAATTCTCTGCTGAAAATGGAGACACTAATCTAACAAAACCAAAAAGGTAAATGGAGTTGGAGAGATAGTCCACGGTTTTAGCTTAAGGCGCACAGGCTTGCATGCAGCTGGCTCGGTCTATCCTGGTACTATGGCAGCTCTCCTGCCTTGGGCTTCCAAACGGAAACGCCAGCCTGCTTGGTTGGGACTGGTTGGGAGCAAAGCCCCCAGCCCCTGAATAAAACTAAAACGGCTTAATTATCAGGTAAGTGACTAGGTTTCTTTATGGGATTTTTCTAGCACCGAAGGGGGAAAGTTTGGAGTCAGTAAAAATACAATTAACATGTATATATATAACATATATACACACACACACACGCACATATATATGTATATATATATATACACATACATACCGTCAACTTCCAAGGTCAACTTAATTCTCAATAGTTGGCTTTAATTTATAGAAGAAAAGGAGGGTGAGGGGGTGGGGATGTGGCTCAGGGTCGAGCCAGGTGTGAGGTGCTGGTGTGATTCCCAGAACTGCCAGGGGTGACCCCATACAAATACAGCTGACTTCACCTGTGAGAACAGAACCCTGAGGACTAAACGGCGGGAGTCTGGCCATGGGAGGGCTGGTCCCCGTGCCCTCCACCCCCACCTCAGGTCTTATGGACAGAGAGGGTCTGGCTGGCTGGTCAGGAGGGCAGGGGGCTCCTGGAGCTGCTGCGGGTACAGGCACTGCTTGGCAGAGCAGCAGTCTTGGGCCAGGAGACCAAATCAGTCTTCAACAAGAGTCATCTGGGGGCAGCGAGGGCATCAGGGCTGGCACCCAGGGAGCGGGCCTGACTCAGAGCCTTCTGCGGCAGCCCACTGTGGTGGAAGGAGGCGGCTTGGGGGGAGAGGAAGAAGGAGGGACTGGGCACCAACTGTGGGGCAAGCTGCCTGGTGACCTGTCAAGAGCTCACCTGTCAAGCTGGCACGGGGCCTGGCACACAGGCACTGCACCCTGGCAGGCTCCCTCTCTGCCGCCACTGCACTCGCCCTCCCCGACTCACGCTCGAGTCCCCGACTGTCACCATGACCTAACATGGAGCGTGGCAACCCCTTCTTAGACAGGCAAAGGTGGGAGCTCGGAGGCAGGTGGCTCATCCAGGACTCCCAGGAGCACGCATGGAGCCAGGACTGCTGCCTGCAAGGCGAGCGCCTACCATGTGCCACTTCCAGCCCCCAACCTCTACCAGGTGTCCATGTCCCCAAGGACTGCCAAAGCCGGCACCTTTCTGAGGAGGCCGGCATGGTGAGGAAGTGGAACCAACATCACCCCTGGGGGTGGCTGCGTCCCGGGAACTCAGGGGCCATGTCAGCACGCCTGCCAATCCTCGTTCGTTAGCTTCAAATAGTAAAAGCCGGGGCTGGTTCCTGGCCTGTCCCCAGAAGCCCATATCAGGGCTGGAGGTGGGGTGGGTTCAGGCACTGCTTATCAGCCCAGCTTTATCTGGCCCAGAGCTGGGTAAATCTCAGCCAGCCTTGTCAACACCAGGAGGCAGCCGGCCACATGCCAGGAGGCCCAGGAATATTTCATTAAGTCAGACCCTGGTGCTGGAAATAAAACCCCCAATTAAACACTTCCCGCCCGGAAATGCAGCCGCGTCTGTAATCAAGCTCCCGGCCGTCCTTCCACGTGGAGGCAGCATCTGAATCCATTAGCTTCTGCGCCCTGGCAACCGTGGCCAGTGGGAGGACTGTGGGGGAACTGAGACCCCTGCTCCTGGGTGGCGGGGCAGGACAGCAGCAGCTTGGCATGGGCCGAGGGGCAGCGGGTCCCACGTCAGCCTCCACACCCACAGACTCAAGTTCAAATCCCACATCATCATCAGCTCTTCCCCAGACATGGCTCCTGTGACACCCCTCCCCTGGTCTCGGGGTCCTTCCCTCGGGAGGGAGCTTAGGACCCCTGAGCGAGAGCTCTTCCAGGCCAGGGGCAAGTGGTCTGGGCTCCCCTTGGCAACCCTGGTCTGTGGGGGCGGGGCACGGGCTCAGCATGAGTCAAAGGAGGCACCTGTCAGAGTTTCCAAGAATTGTGAGCAATGGGCCATTTTAAAAGCGTTTTATGGCTCTCATATAATTAGAACTAAGCTAACAAACAGGTAGGGATCAGGAGGGGGTGCAGCTAATGAGACTGGAATGATTTGTAACAAGCACATCAGCTGTTCCTGGGTAGACTCCACTGCTGAAGGGCCCTCAGGCAGGACCAGGCTCTTGAAAACATCTCCAGCCTCTGGTTCACCCAGGAGCCCTGTCCAGGCCTCTCCTCCCTTCCCACATCCTCCTGAGGTGCAGATTCAAGGTGCACTGGCTCTCCTGCGCACCTTCTGGGGCCTGAGGCAGGCCAACGCCAATGTGGAGTTGGGGGTTTCTCATCAGAGAACCCCCTGCTCCATCAGCCTATTCCCTCGCTGAAACCTGAGGCCCCTGCATCCTGACACAAACACACACACATATGCACACACTAACACACACTCACACCCACACACGCACACACTAGCACATACTCACACCCATACATACACATATGCACACACTCACACCCAGACATATGCACACACTAACACACACTCACACCCACACACGCACACACTAGCACATACACCCATACATACACATATGCACACACTCACACCCAGACATATGCACACACTAACACACACTCACACCCACACACGCACACACTAGCACATACACCCATACATACACATATGCACACACTCACACCCAGACATATGCACACACTAACACACACTCACACCCGTGCAGAGGAGTACAGACATGCATACACACAAACTAAGGTCTCAGCACACTTGTATGCGCTGTATGAACTCAGATGCACACCTCACACCCATGCACAAGAGTAGACACACGTCTACACACACATACACATACTCTCAGACACATTCACCCTAAGGTCTCATTAGCACCTCCTGGGCCCTGACAAAAACCTAATGGGGGTACCAGTAATTGAATTATTTCTCCACTCCTCATTCCCTCCCTGCTCCCCTATGGCCGGGTTCTGTGGGTCAGGCAGAGGCTTTGCCATTGTTGGTCCCTGTTAGGTGGTCTCTCTGTCACCATGCCTTTCATGTCACTGCATTCCGTAAGCAGGGCTCCATGCCCCCGACCCCCAACACCACTGAAGTCTATGGTTGTCAAAGCTTCCCACTAGAGTCATCAGTGCTTCGGTGACTTCATTGTTGGCCTTCTGCCTCTTTTTGCATGTGGGGGTGGTGCAGAGAATACTCCAGGGTGCTGGGTGGGAAGGCACATGGTGCTGCAATCAAACTCAGGACCTTGAAAATGCAAGGTATGTGTTCCAGTTCCTTGAGCAATCTTCCTGGTCCACTTATTGGCCCATGGTGGGGAGGGGGCCACTCCCAGCAGTATTTGAGCTGGCAGGTAAGGGCCCCACAATGGACCCAGCAGTGTTGGTGCTACTAAGACTCTGTAGAGCTTGGGGAGGGGGCATCAGGGCCATACTCTGCTGTGCTGGGTGCATAGCCTGCTGACGACCTCTCAGCTATCTCCTGCCCCCTCCAGCCCTGCTGCACCCTTACTGGCATCTTTTGTCTGGGTAACAGAGCATACTTTACTGGTGCTCAGGGGCAATTCCCGGCTCTGTGCTCAGGAGTGAGCCCTGGTGGTGCTCAGGGGACCATTTGTGATGCTGGGGATTTGAACTGGGCTCATGGGATGCAAGCAAGTGTCTCTCTGGGGTCTTCACTCTTCTGTTCCTTCTTGTCTGCATTTTCTGCTAAGCCTGAGGTTCCCCTGCCTCCTCCGCATCCCCAGCCCACACAGTCAACTTTCTCCACCTGCTGCCCAATTGATCTGTTCAAGGAAGCTCCAGACTGATCCCACATGGTTTGTTGGGGGTCACAGGAGTCCCTGGTGCCAGCTGATGCCAAGGGGACTGGCAGGCCAGGCCAGAGACAGACATCATGCTGCATGAGGCTGGAGCCTGAGGCGGGTGCCTCTGTGGATCCCTAGCTCAGGAGAGAGGGAGGAAAGCAGGGCCCGGGATTCCAAGTGTCAAGGCAGGGAGTGAGTTAGCCCTGGGTAGAGGGGCGGAGGCTGGCGGGGGGCCTGAGTGGTGGCTGTTATCTCCGTGGAGAAAGCAATAAAATCACGTTCCCTCATAAACGTGCACCACCAGGACCTATTTCCTGCTCAAATGGAATTAAAGGTGATGGATGGAGCCTCGAGCAGCAGGCAGAGCTGGGGGCGGCTTAGTGCTGAGTGATAGGCCTTGTCCCAGGCCTGGCTCCCTGGAGCCTAGAGGCACCAGCCCCGACGGCCAAGCAGCCAGACCCAAATCTTAGGGCAATGTGGAGACTGGGGGTGAGGGAGATGCTCCGTTCTCAGGAGCCTGCTCCCAAGACCCACAGCACCTGCTCTCTCCTGTCTCCCCTGAAGAGCTGAAGAGCAGTGGAGGCCCAGAGAGCACTGGAACCTATGCAGGCTCACACAGCACTTAGTTCCATAGTACAGGGGGAGGGCGGGAAGTGCAGAGCCTTTGCCAGGGGACCCCAGGGACTCTCACCAGTCCCCAGTCCAGAGTGCAGAGCCATGAGGACGGACTCTCTCTCTCTTTCTCTCTCTCTCTCTCTCTCTCTCAGACACACACACACACACACACACACACACACACACACACACACACACACATACCCCAGTAAGCTCACTCAAGGAGCCTGCACTGAGCACCCAACTCTCAGACTGATTAAACCAGAAGCTGGTTCTGATTCTGTGGCTGTTGCCCATGAACTGGGAGATGAATCCGACTTGGGGTGCCCTCCCACAGCTGTCTCCTTGGACCCCACATCTCTCTTTAGTCAGACTCCTACTCTTTCCCTTCCCCCCATTTGCCAACAGACATCTCAGGTTTGGGTTGCACCGGATGCCCCCTCCAGGAGAGCAGGCAGACCACCATGAGGAGACCAGGGATCTTCTGGGGGGTGTGTGGGAAAAGGGCTGTTTCAGAGAAAAGGAAGCAGCGTCCACCCACTGCACCCCTCACCAGGACTCCCGAATTAGAAGGAGGGTGGCTTTTGTTGGGAGAAGGGAACTTACCACTGCTGGCCCAAGGCAAGTACCAGGGGCAGCTAACATTCACCAAGGAGTTGGGGAGTCCATCTGGCCAGCAAGCATAGTCGTCAAACGTCCGGTTGCAGAACACACCTGGGTGCAGGGCAAACGGTATGTGAGTCCGGCTTGGCGATGACCCCGCAGTGTCCTCCCCACCTCAGAGGCTGGACCCAGGCACCTGCATTCTGCTAACCTCTGCAGAGCGCCTCCTGCCTGCCCATAAGGGCTGGGCCAGAAAACTCAGGTCCAGAGTCGGGGGACCTTGTTGGGCCACTTAACACATTTATGTGGTGCTGCCATCTGAGCCGGTCAAGCCCCTTCCAGGCGTGAGCCATCAGGGCACGCGCTGGCTTCACCGTGCTATGCTTCCATTTGCTCCACTATAAAATGGGGCAGTCGGGGCCCACAGGGCCTAGCGCAGACCTGCAGTGGAGAGCTTCCCCCACCCAACAGGTACCTGAGAGTGGATTCCGTCAGCTGCCCTTATAGGCCAGTGACGCTCTACAGAGCAGCTGGGGCGAGAAGAAGCTTCCAAGACTGAACAGCCCCCCAATTTTACTATGAGGGTTTGAGGGGAGCTGAACAGACACCCCCACTCCCATGCACCAGTTATTCCCACAAACACTTGCTAGCACAAAGTACTGAGCTGGGGTGCCACCAGCCCTGGAGGGTCCCAAGCTGGGGGCAGAGGGCTGAGGACAGCAACACCCCCCAGATGCCTACAGAGCCCCAAGAGGGCAGAACTCATTGGGGGTGCAGTCAGGGACTAGTGTTGATGCTCAGTCCTGGACCTGGGCACTTTAGCTGGGGAGGGGCAGTGCTGCTGGACTCACCTGTGGCTGGAGGTGGAGAGCTAGCCAGGAACTGGTGGCACTGGCGGCGGTATTCTCGCCACTTCAGCACGGTCTCTGAGAGGGACACAGTGGCACCCTGCAGTTGGGGAGAAACATGAGGGGCCCCATCCCATAGGTTTAGCCACTCCCAGACACAAACGTTTGGCATCTTGATCTCCTGGAAACCTTAGAACCTCAAACTCTATGGGGGAAATTGTCTGCCACAGAGGCAGGGGGAGGGTTGGGACAGGAGAGGGATTCTTGGGATATTGGTGATAGAAAAATGTGCAGTGGTGGAGGGATGGGTGTTTGATCACTGTATGACTAAAACTCAAACATGAAAGCTTTGTAACTGTATTGCACAGTGATTCAACAAAAATTAAAAAAAAAAAGGAAACTCAAACTCTGCCAGGCACTGGCCACACCCAAGATGGAAGGACTTAGCCCCCCTGCAGAGGGGCTCCAGTGGGGTCCCTACCCCTTTATATCTCCCAGGGCACCAGAGTCTACGGAAGTGTGCTCTGTGTGTGTGTGTGTGTGTGTGTGTGTGTGTGTGAGAGAGAGAGAGAGAGAGAGAGGGAGAGAGAGAGAGTGAGAGAGTGATTCCTGCTCTCCTCAGCCCCCGCTGTGTGGGAAATTCTTGGAACCCTGAGCACAGGCTCCTTTCCAGGACTTACTCACTGTCCTTCTACCCATTCTAGAAGACCTGGAAGGGGAGTAGGGTACAGTTAAAGTTACACAGCACCTCCAGTTCCAGAGCCAAGGCTAGGACCCAAGGTTCCCCAGCTCAGGGGTCCTTGGGGGATACTGAGGGTGGGGAGATTCCCCACTGCACTCTTAAGAATTTCTCCTGCCAATGGCAAGTATGCTACCAGACCCCCCCAGTGATACCCCCAAACACAAGAACCCAGATGCAGTCCAGCTTCTTTGTACTGGAGGAGGAATCCTGAGACATGGGGTGCAGATACATGCCAGGACAGGAGGAGCAGTACCATAATGGGGTGTTCCCTTCTGTAAGTGGGGGATACAAGCCTTGTTTTTCAGAGAAGATGACAGTTTTTAACATCAAACTGCAGACCCATTTGCGGGAGAAAGTGCCCTTCAGAATTTTTGTGTGCATTTTCTCTAGATATGTCGTGGGACTATGTTAATCATTTGAAAGATTTTTTTCCTAAACAGGCTTAGGATTATAAATATTCCACATTTAGCAATTGTAAATGCCAAAATGATCAGGGAGTCCTTTGTATGAAATTTAGGATCTATACATAATTTAAAACAAAAACTTCACTTTCTGAAATCCCTGTGCACTGGAATGAAAACAACAATCGCTTCTTTCGGGAAAGCTTGCACCCTTATCCAACAGAACCCGGAGCATGTGCTAGAGCTGGTGTCTGGGTGCCCTGCCCTGTGAAGAAGGTGATGGTTAGCAGGCCCTGCTCCTAGGGTTGCCCTGCCCTGTGAAGTCAGTGACGGCCTAGAAGACCCTACAGACAGGCTGGCCTGTGCTTGTCTCCAGCCACTGCAGCCTGGGAGGGTACAAGGCCTGTAACCCCATCATAAACCATGCAAGTCAAACCAGAGCAAGTGAGCAGAGAACAGAGACCTGAAAGAACAGAGAGCCTCTGAGAAAAGAGACCAAGAACTTTTCTTCAAAGAATTCATCTTTTTCAGAAGGAACAAGAAACGGAACGCATCAGAGAAGACGGCGCCTTCCTGATCACAACTGAGGGGGTGGCACCACCTTCCCCAGAGCTGCTCTCTGAGGACCTCCTCCAGCCACCCCACCTTTTCCTTCCCCTTCCTGCACCCTGGTACATCAGTGTCCGGGGTGCGGAGGGAGGGCTGGGGAGTGGCGGAGACATCCCCGTCTACTAGGAGGAAGCAGGCAGCAAGCAATGCCACCGAGGAGACTGGGGCAGAGAGTGTGTCTGAAGTGGGTTTGGCATCAGCCGCTTAGTGGGTCTGAGGGGGAAGGTGAGGCTGGGTGGAAGGCAGGACAGCACCACACGGGGGAGTCTGGCCACACCAACACAGGAGCGGGGGACGGGGCTCCCTGAGGACAGGGCTGTGCCCCCTCTGCTGGGGAGACTATAACAGTAGGACCTTCTACCTCCCCTCTGCAGAAATTCAGGGTTTCCAGGTACTGCCCAACTGCCCCTGTGCCCCCAGACAGCCTGCAGGAGACCTGGCCTGTCCCTCTCAGGGCACTTACAGCATCGTATTGTGCAGAGCTGGGCAATGTTGGGAGGACAGGGTCACCCAAAGACCAAGGCTGCGTCACAACCTGAAGAATCCCCTACTACTTGGCAGGAGGGGTGTGCCTCTGCCCAGGAGACATAAAGGACCAGAATGGGGACACTGAGGCACCAGTAAAGAGGAAAGTGGTGGGATTTCTGGGTCAAGGGTAAGTGAAATAAGGATGCAGGCATGGCAGTGGGGAAGACCAGGACCCTCCGGGCTGGCTCTGGACTCGGATGCAGCATGATGCCGGTTGCAGAGGAAGTTGGCAACATTGAGCAAGGGTTTTCATTCAGTTTGGGCTTGGAATTTGGGTCCTATACACTAGTGCTCAGGGCTTATTCCTAGTTCTGTGCTCAGGGGCCCCTTCTGGCAGTGCCTGGGGGATCATATACAGTGCTGGTGATTAAAGTAGGGTCATCTGTGTGCAAGGCAGCTCTCTCTCCTGTCCCTGGCAAGAGTCCTCACTTCTCTCTACAGCTTCTACATGGGCCCAGTGGGGATGGCACTAGCCCCTGTGTCCCCAGGGAGTGAGGATGAAGGGGTCATGCTGAGAATAGCCCAGACATGTGGACGAGCTTCTGATTACAGGAGCAGGAAGAGGGGACGGGGAAGCCTGGACCACGGCCTCACTGTCCCTTTCACTTCCAGGGTTAACAGACTCCTGGGAGGAGGAAAGAACATATTTCCATGTCCAAGGCCCAATCATCGTGCTCACACCATCACACCAAGCTCTTCCAGCAGCAGCCATAGTGGGTGTCAAAAAAAATGGGGCAAGCACAAGAGTCCAGGGTTAAGGCCTGTGCCTTGCATGCGACTGGCCCTGGCAGGACCCAGCAGCAGATCTCGAGGCTTCCCTTGCTCTGAACCACTGACCCAAATGGCCTAGAGTCAACAGGAGGGGCCCCTGGGCTCCTAAGTAATGCTGGGAGACCACCCTCAGAAAGCAAGTGGGGGAGACCAAGCTTGCTGTGTCCACGGGTGCACAGAGTGGAACCAGATCCGGACCCCTCCCTGCATCCCACAGTCCCACTGAACGGGCTCTTGCTCAAGCTCTGGGTGGAGAGGAGGAAGTGATGGCAAGGCCCCCTGAAAATCACAGGCCGAAGAATCCCATGCTACTTGACGGGAAGGGTGTGCGTCTGCCCAGCAGGGATAAAAGACCAGGATGGGGACACGGAGGCACCAGTAGAGAGGAAAGTGGTGGGATTTCCGGGTCAAGGGTAAGTGTAAACGTGATGCAGGCATGACAGTGGGGAAGACCAGACACCTCCGGGCTGGCTCTGGGCTCGGGTGCAACATGGTGCTGGCTGCAGAGGAAGTTGGCAACATGGAGAGAGGGTAGCACAACTGGCCCAGGCGACAGGATCAAAAGGAGCAGGGGTGGCGATTTTTTGAATCAGGTCTTAGCAGGTTTCATGGACTCTCTCTGAGGGGGATGAAGGTACTTGGGAATCCTCAGGCAGAGGTTACAATAAGGATGGAGTGAGTCTGAGGTTTCAGAGTTTTGGAAGAAGCAGGAGGTGAGAAAAGGGGTCTCAGGAGGGATGGTGTGTGGGAAAGGGCGCGGGATAGTCAGGAGTTTAGTTTAGTTCCAGCTCTGACACTTCACGTGTCAGACATACCTTAGTCTTTGCTGGCCTCATTCTACTCATCTGAAAAATGGACACATCGTTCCCTAGCACTGTACCAGCTGGCCAGAGCAGCCAGCATCTTTATGGAGGAGAGGACAGAGGAGGAACAGTGCTGCAGTAAAGGTCTCATGGCTCCTCTAAGGACACAGGCCGTCTTGCCCCCTGGTTCAAACAAACCCTTCCTGCTGGCCCCAGGCCCTGGAGGCTATGGCTGCTGGACACTGGCTTTTGTGTGACATTTTTATGGAGGGTGTTGGCCATCTATGGAGATGGGTAGGGGAAGAGAGCTTCCCTGCTAGGGACACTGTCACACATCCCGAGACAGGACAGTCTCTCACACCCAGCCCACAGGCACACGCAGACTGTCCCCAAAGAACAGACCTTTGACCAACGAATGTTCCACCCACAGACGGACAGGCAGCCCCTCATTCTGTCACTGGCTTGCTCTCTCTCACCCCTACTGGAACCTCCTCCTGGGGACAAGTCTCACACTGTCCCCAACTCACAGAAGCAGTGGGACACACGCTTACACATTGAGGTGTTGACACAAGGTGACTGACCCAGATGGTTAGACTCAGGGTCACAGGCAAATGCCCAAGGCACATATTCCCTCTCTTGGTCCTTCTGTTTCTACCTGACTGTCTCTGCTGTATTTCTGTATCACTAATCTCTGGATCTCTCTCTCTCTCTCTCTCTCTCTCTCTCTCTCTCTCTCTCTCTCTCTCTCTCTCTCACACACACACACACACACACAGAAATCTGACTGAGGCATGTTACACCCAAGAACGGAATAGGGAACTGGTTTCCCCCAGAACAAGGTAGGATGTGGTTTCTAGGTTACCAGGGGTATGTCCATAAGGGAGGGATCCCAGATCAGAACAAAGTCCCTGCCACTTACTATGCAGCCCAGACCCCACTCTGCCCCCTCCAAGCCCTATTCTGCATCCCTGCAGAGGACTGGCTTCCAGGAACAGGACAAAAGGGTCAGTTCTCCCGAGTGAGTAAAACCACTGTTTCAGGGGGCCCATGTCTTGGGCTTCTCTGTCACCTTCATGGTAGAACTTGCAACCCCCATGACAAATACAGAAACTGAAGTTTGGGATGGTCAAGGGCTCTGTACCAGACCACCAGATAACAGCAGACCCCCTAGGTGAACATGCTTTGTCTGGTTCTAATTTGGGGTGTCAATGTCCTGCTTCACCTCAGAACAGCTCCTTCAGAGGGCGCAAGGTACGGAAAAGGAAGGGGTGGGTTCGTGCAGGCCGGCAGTGGGGCTCTAGACCCCTTCACCAGAGCTTCCCCACCTAGGGGAGCCCTGGGCTGCAGGGAGTTGCCCCTCCATTAGCGTGCAGTTGGGGATCAGGTCCTGGCCACACTCTGCACCCCTTTCTCCTCTGTGCTAAAGCACTGCGTCACCTCACCCAGGAAACCCTCTTTTACAAAGCTTTGGTGCCCCCTCGGTGACAGGACAGGGAGGAAGTGACCTCAGGAGTGAGAAAGGAAAGCAGATTCACCGTGTCCAGAGCCTCCGCATGGCATGGGGCCGCGTCATGGAGGGCTGCAGTCTGATCTCAGCACCCCACACTGCAGCCAGAGATGCTGGTGCCCCCCCTCCACCCGACGCTCGCCCTCTCTGCTCCAGCCTCCTCCTGCCCTGCACCCCTGAGTTCCCGGGGACCTGGCTTCTGCTCCTGGCCCAGGGCTGTGGCGTCAGAGGAACAGAAGAGAGGGCAGGCTGGGTCTCCTCTGGCAAAGGGAAGTTTGGGAGCAGACAGGCAGGTCAGACCCTCTTCTCCCTGCCCTCTTTCCCCTACTCCAGTCTGCTCTCTACAAACTTAGCTTGGAGCAGGGCATTTCCCGACCGACTCCCCAACACCACCCTGCTGGCATTGAGAAGATAAAGCCCAGAGAGGAGGGTAATGGGTCTCTGTCCAGGATGCCAAAGCCTGGCTTAGGGGTGGGTACCAGGAGAGGGGTCACCTCCGGAGGCTGGAGGCAGTCTCAGGGACGCAGCAAGGGACAGCATAAATCTGGAGAAGAAGACAGGGTAAAGGGGAGGCTCAGCTGGGAGCACATCTCACATCTGTCGGATCTGTCCAGATGTGGACAGGCCCGATGCTAGGCAGAAGGCCCTCCATCATCCTGGGACACATTTCAGGGCTATGGAGGCCCTGGCCGAGGTCTAGGTTCCTGAGGTCTGGAGGGTACGGGGGAGGGGGTCAGGAGGTGGGGAGGGCCACTGACCTCGCTCAAATTCTGCAGGGCCGCCCCTGTCCCCTTGGCAGAGCCGGACTCAGTAAGGCCAGAGAAAGGCCGCGGCCAGGGCCAAAGCGGGGGGGCCGCAGGGGTCCATCCATGGCCTGGCTGGGACAGGCCCTGGTGTGTGGAGCCAACAGGGCTCAGAAGGGGGGGCAGATCACCAGATCACCGTCAGAGCAGGCTTGGCAGGGGGCAGGCTGGGGACCCGCAAGTTCTACCCGGGAGCTTAGGAGGAAGGACCCCCGAAACCCCGAAACCCGCCGCGCTGGGGGCTGGCGAGGGGGATGGAGCTGGGCGTCCCGTGCCGGCCGGGCACCGGGGCGAGCCTCGGCGGGGCCGCGGCGCGGGCGCCGGGAGAAGGAGTTGGCCAAGTGGCCGGGCAGCGCTCGCCGTCCATCCGGCCGGGTGCCCGAGCTCCCCGCCCGCCCGGACCCCCCGCGCCCCACCTTTCTCTCACCTGCGGACGGGGGCCGGCCCTGCCCACCGCCCCGAGCAGCAGCAGCGCCAGGCGCAGCGGGCCGGGGGCGCCGGGCATCGCGGCCACCTGCGGAAGCGCGCGCCGGACTGAGCGGGCGCCGGGGAGGAGCCGCGCGCGGGAGGCCGGGAGGGGCCAGCTCCGCCCGCTGCCCGCTGCCCGCTGCCCGCCTCCAGCCTCCCGGAGGCAGCGCCGGCGCCCTCCTCTCCGGGCACCCCGCGGACGCCCGGAGTGGCGCCCCGGGAGAGCGGGACGCCCCCAGCCAAGAGGACGGGCACCCCGTCCCAGTCCGCTCCGCGTGCCGGGCAGGTCCAGGAAGCCAAGGATGCGGGCAGCGCAGGGAGGACGGAGGGGAGACAACACGGGGACCGTGACATCCGGGAGGACAGGAGAGTCTAGGAGCTCCCCTCCGCTCCCGCACCCGAGCCCCTGACCCGGAGCAGGGTGTGGGGGGCGGTAACCTGGGCCCACGCTGCTAGTGCGGCTGGTGGTGGGGGCTTCGGATCTTATCTGCAGTTGCATTCACTCCAAACACTGTGTGTGTGTGTGTGTGTGTGTGTGTGTGTGTGTGCGCGCGCGCGGGGGGTAGGAGTGGAGACAGACGGATGGGGAGCAGATTCATCTTCAACTAGGAGACAGGCCAAGTAAACTCTGGTTTAAGTTTCATCCAGTGAGGAAAGGGAATAGGAAATTCAGGTTACCCCATCCCCAGCCTAAAGCTTTTCCGTAGCAATGCGGGGAGCAGGTGGCAGCCACACTCAGCTCTGCTGTGGCCATGGATGGACCATTGCAAGGGAAGGGAGTGAGTTGGGGCAGTTGTTCCTCTGGGACTGAGAGAGATTGGGCCAGCCTCAGGGGTGGGGTGGAGAGGAGCCAGGTAAGGGGGGGTCTGGAGAAGACAAGAGCCGTTTTCTCAGGCAAGCTCTACCAGCAGGCGGCAAGTGCCCTCTTCTCTGCCCAGAGGATACTGCGTCTGCTCCCAGGCTGTTTAGGATTATCATGTCCCACTGTGTGCGACAGAAAGACCCTGGGAATTATGGCTTCAGTCGGATTCTGTCCTGGAAAGCACAGAGGGAGGGGCAGCCCGGGGCTAAAGTTGAGCCCCAACCCCACCCTGCCAAAAGTTTCTGGGTGTTCCAGGCTTCCCCATACTTATGGCTTAAGGCTTCCAGTTAAAGATGCCAGGTGGTACACCAACCCTGGCCGCAATATCCAAATGCAGCCCCTTAGAAAGAGGAAGGGAAGAATATAGGGAACTCTCCCCAGGAAGAACAGCAATTCTGATAAGCCACCAAAGGTACATCATGGTTACCTACTGGAGCCTTTATTACTTTTATAGAAGGCAGTCACAGAGATATATGGGGTGGCAGATGGTGGGCATTAACTGGCAAGTTCTGCTATTTAGGGTTTGGGGCTAGAAGAGAGCAGGAACTGGTCTTTATTGTGCATTCACAAAATAACTGGGGACACTCTCTTGCCACATGCGTTTGGTGGTCAGGCAACCTTCCTGCCCCAGATGGCCAATAGCGATGGATGAAAGAAGGAGAAAATGGGGGCCAGGCTGGTTGGTGACCAATTGCCATTTATTCCAGTCTAGTCTTCCTCTGTCCCCTTTCAGTCTCACTCACTGTCCATATTCCTCGTCCTCCAGCCCACTGCCACAGCCTAGTTTTAGAGAACAATCACCAAGGGTTGGGGGTAACAATTACACATAGGTGAGGTAGCACAATCAACAGATGAAAGCCCTTCCTTTTGGAGAAGCTCTTCTAGGACAAGGTCTCATCCTGCTAGAAGATCTCAAGGGTGGAATTTCATCTAAGGATATACTTCTCCTTTCCTTAATCCATAATATATCATTTTATATTTACTTCTAATAATAATAGTACTTCTAATAATAATATTTCAGGTCATTTTGTATGGACACAGTAGGAGATATATTAAGCTTAAAGGGTGGCTCTCCCAGGGACATCTCAGTATAGATCCCAGACTATAGTCCTTAGTCCTTCCTAACCCTGCAGGGTCCTTGTTCAGTCACTTCTCTTTGGGTCATGACAGAATTTGTCCACAACTGTGCTCTTAATTTATTATAAGTTTTATGGCACTTGGCCTGCCCCATTTCAGCCTGCCTCAGGGTAGATTATCGCCTGCCCTGAGTCCATCCAGTTCCTTCGTTGGGACCCTGCTTCTGGGGTGCAAGGAACTAAGGGCAATTGAGGCTTAACATGAGTAAATGTGACAGATGCCCAGGAGTAAATATTATTTGTAGTCAATTAATTCCCAATAAAAGCATAGCATTGTCTTCCTGTGTCTATACAAAAGGGCATTGCTCTAAAGTAGACTATGCAAAGGACATAAGGGAAAGAGGAAAGCAATATTTTACTTGAAATACAAATCCAGAGATCTCTGAAAAACTTGACTTTACAAGTCACAGGTTCTGGCTAGGGGGAATGAGTGATTAGCAGACAGGGGAAACAGAGCATAAAGGAGACGTTAAAGATGAATACTGAGGAAATGGGAGTGCTTCCGGAGCGTTGTGATGGCTATTAATCAGTAAACCTAAGCTCCTTGTTGAGGAGAAAAGTAGGAGGAGAAATGGCAAACCAATGTTAAATCTGAAACGTTTAGAACTCTAATACAACTTTATCCATACTTATCAATTTCCAAAGGACAGTCCCATTGACCACCTAGTAGGTGCCATTGAACTGGGTCCTGGGAATGAGTGAGTTACCGCCCCTTTCTGGGCGAGAATATAATCACCCAGGAAGGGTCAGTAAGCAAGGGTGGGAACACCTATATTGCAAATACAATGGAACTTACCCCACACCTAATCAATTCTGACAGCTCAACTTCAACTTCAGATTGAAGCTCCATCCTCAATTCTTAAAAACTCCCTTTCTCTTTGCCAAGGAGCACTCTGAGTGGAGATATATGTGTTCAGCGAGTGCAAGACAGGAACCCCCAAAAGCAGCTCCCAAATATGGAGGGACCAGAGTCGATGCCCTAGCTCTCCCCTCAGAGGTGTGTCCCTAAGTTCCCCAGGGGTCCCAGATAGCACCAGCTCACTCATGCAACCCATCCATACTGTCTTCCCTGGCTGGCCTGACTTTTCAAGAATAGTTTTTGAGAATCCATTGTGGGGACATAACCAGATGAAACAGCTTGTCCTTTGATCCTGTTCCAGAGTCTTCTTTGGGAGATCCCAGCTAAAGACTGAGTACACAGGGATGGGAGTGACTCTCTCGGCTGGTGTACTGGGGCAGATCACTCAGTCTCTCCTTTGAACACCTGGGGTCCACCATATCCTCGGAGTTTATTCTGAGGTTATGTCTCATCCCAACATGCTCCCCCTTGGCTAAAGCTGCCTGCTCCTTAGACAGGGGCTCAGGGTAGGAACTCTGATTTTATTTTGGGAGACTACACTTGGGGTGCTTAGGGGCTATCACTGACTCTATGCTCTCAAGTGACCCTGGGTTGTGCTTAGTGGATGGTGCTGGGGTTTGAACTGTTTCAGCGCCTCTAACAGAATTTTTGGGGGGAGGGTCACACCTGGTGATGCATAGGGGTCACTCCTGGCTCTGCACTCAGGAAATATCCCTGGCGGTGCTCAGGGGACCATATGGGATGCTGGGAATCGAACCAGGGTCGACCGCGTGCAAGGCAAACGCCCTACTTGTTGTGCTATCACTCCCGCCCCTGTAACAGACTTTTTGCTCCTTGTTCCATGCTTCTATGAATGTGGTGACGCTCTTCCAACCACTAAGCTGTTAGAGTTGTGTATTGGACATTTGGGATTTGTAAGGTTTGTAAGGCAAGTGAGTCTCAGAATAGGCATTCAGTCTGGTTCCTTTTTTGGGTAACAATTTCTTGTTATCCCTATTCGTATCTGGTTTCCTCGAGACTTTGCTCTAGCCTTTGTTCCTGAGTTTCTCTATTGGCTGCTTAGGATCAGAAACTCCAAATTTACTGGCATCTAAGAAGCCTGCTCAGATCTGCCGCAGCGTAACTCCTATTGGCACCTCTAGCAAGGATTTCTTTCCCCTCCTTGCCCAGGGAGTTCCTGCTGTACCAAGTGCTCCCACTCACCTTGCCTGCCTGAGACAGCACTGTCCTCTCTCTGACAGTGGCTCTCAAAGCACGCTGCTATCACCTAAACAAACTTAAAACTACAGACATTTGGGTCCTCATTTATAGGCGATTAAAAAATAGCTTTTATTACAAACTTGTTCATTATACAGTTGCTTCAAGCATTTAGTGTTCCAATACCACCAGTCTGACCTTCCCTCCACCAATACCTCCAGTTTCCCTCCTAATCTCAAGCTGCCCCCTTAGGCACATAACAAATTTACTTTATATTGATTATTCCAACAAAGCTTAAAGGCAATTTTGATGTCACAGTCATGACTGTGGTCTGGCCCATAATTTTGGATTAGGATTAATAGCAAGACATTAGGAAACTGAAGAGGTCCCAGGTTACTCAGATAAGGAGGAGAGTTTATGAAACTCTTCAGTAAGTAACCTTTCCTCACACCACCCTTAGCCATGGGGCCCTGCAAGTTTCCCCTAAACATAACTCACCCCTGGGACTCTTCAATTGCTGCACACCCTGAGAGCCTCTGCAGACAGGTTACCTCCACCTGGAAGCTTTTCAGGATTCGTCTAGCTCCCCGCCTGGGCTCTCAGAGCCCCAGCCCCTTGCGCTTAAGTCCATAAGGACAGTTTGTGGCCATCTGAATGTCTGCCACTCAATTCATGGGGTTCCTCCAGGGGTCTTGTTTTCCTCATACTCCTTATGGTGTGGGGCATGTCACGTGCTCAGCGACTCTTGTTAAAAACAATGGAAGCACTTTTATCTGTCTCTGTCCCTGTGAGAACTTTTCATCCTTATATAAAGAGCTCTGCTAAGGAAGGAAGTTCATCTGAATAGCATCAGTGCAGGTTCTGGAACTTTTTTAAAAAGAGCAACCACCCCTCAAACATCACCTAATGTGGCTCTGGTGGCCATCAGTATCCCTGGCCTGGGAAGCACTGCATCACTGTACCCAAGCATGGACCTGTCTGGCCCAGTTAGCCAAGACTCACCCGGAGCGGCCTTCAAGTCCATGAGCATTATAAAGCTTTGGAGGCCCCCATTGAAAAACAA